ACAAACTACATGCAATTTGACCTGTACAAACTACATGCAATTTAACGTGTACAAACTACATGCAATTTAACATGGACAAACTACATGCAATTTAGCATGGACAAACTACATGCAATTTAATATGGACAAACTACATGCAATTTAATATGGACAAACTACATGCAATTTAACATGGACAAACTACATGCAATTTAACGTGTACAAAATACATGCAATTTAACATGGACAAACTACATGCAATTTAGCATGGACAAACTACATGCAATTTAACATGGACAAACTACATGCAATTTAACATGGACAAACTACATGCAATTTAACGTGTACAAACTACATGCAATTTAACATGGACAAACTACATGCAATTTAGCATGGACAAACTACATGAAATTTAACATGGACAAACTACATGCCATTTAACATGGGAAACTGCATGCAATTTAACATGGACAAACTACAAGTAATTTAATATGGACAAACTACATGCAATTTAACATGTACAAACTACATATAGCATGCAATTTAACATGGACAAACTACATGCAATTTAACGTGGACAGACTACATGCAATTTAACATGGACAAACTACATGCAATTTAACATAGACAAACTACAAGCAATTCCCAACACTCAGTATTTTGATTTCCTTGAATTGTTTTAATTTCTAAATTTTTATGGTGTGTGAAATTTCATGGTGTTTGACTAATTAGTATGTTGGTACTAAAATAGCAAATTATTCCATTACTAGCCTTAATAGCTTATTCCATGTAGTCTCAATAACTAGCCTGAATAAATGACTAGTCTAAATGACTATTTTAAACAAATGGCCAACTTTATGTAATATTGAATAAAAATATGAATGGAAGTTAATCTTCAAGCAGGATTTGATTGGCCTATAGCAACACTGTAAAAATGAATCTTTTAGCCCTCTATAACAGGGTTATCTAATTAAAAAACCAACATGTCACATATGGATTGGAATTTTACGAGCCAAGGTCTTCGTACTATGGAAGAGGTTTGCACCATTCACGTGACTTCCGGTTCCGTTGGTCCCGCCTTTATTATTTATTCTGTTTTCTACAAAAAAGGGTGGCAAGGGTGGCAAGGGTGATAAGATCAGGTGTAAAAGGATAGAAGGTCCTATCAAATTATGGTCCTACTCTTCATTGATTTATATGTTGACCTCTTTCCCTTATCATCTTATACACAATCAGAGCCAGAAAGGGCTGTTAAGGGCCATAATCCCTTGGGGACCATAATTTCTTTCACACCGGTGTCGACGTTAGATATATCCATATCCAAATGTCTGTAACAACATCCTAGACAGTGAACTTGGCAGTGAATTCCAAAGTTAAACCTACACAAACTCCCAGTGTAGTGTACGGTATAACGCGCAGTAACGGTAATGTACAACACAAGGAATTTGAATTTGCGTTATACCGTATCTCAGATAAATCTACCTGCACGTTATACCATAACGTGTTTATAAAGATTATCGTTGAGTATTCATTTAATTTGATACTTTGAAAGAATACGAGCCTTTGGCTCTGACAGAAGCATCCACCATGCTACACAGATAATTGGTTGCAAGCACAGTTTGAGCTCAATCGACATTGTGAAATGTTAAGGAAAGTATCAATATAATCATTATACCATACCCCGACACCGGTTATATGTAAGAAATCAGAGAAATTAATTTTATTTGAAGAATGTACGGCGTGAAGGACGTGTACGAAGTGCAAGGCGAGGAAATATTAGCAACAATATTATGGTCAACATCGGACACACACTCCACTCCGTACATTTTTATGCAAATATGATTTTCCAAATTCTTCTAAAGTGTGTGGATGATGCATAACGATTATAGTGAACAATTATAACATAACATAACATAACAACATAACATAACAAACTCCACATATATTTTTTCAAAAAGCTCTCGTTATCATGTCCTGATGCATTAGATTTCGATTGCCGAAATTGTTTCATAAATTCTGGTCTACTGTAAATGAAAAAAATAGCCGAAGTTATATCTAGCGGAAAAAGTACATGTCTATTATTTGCAAGATTATTTGCTGCTAAAGAAACTTGTCCGTGACGTCATGTCGGTGGGATCTACTCATTTTTTTAGTTGTCACTGGGGTTATACACGTGTAACGTCGCAAATGATCGCATTATATTTCGCAAAATTATTGGAAAGATTGTTTTATGACGCCACGATAACGAAGACGAACTTCTCAAAAAGTGATATCCGATGGTTTCAAAAGTGATATTCGATGGTTTCAAAAGTGATATTCGATGGTTTAGAATTTTTCATTATTTCAATTTTTTTCAATATATTTTTCAATAATTTCCTTTCACATTTTTTCAAGATTTTTAAAAATTGAATTAAATTTTTTTCTTCAAATTTTTTTAAAAAATGTTTCCGCTGGATTAAGATTTCCCATGGGATAAACGGAAAATCTTATGTTTTTTAAAAATAAAAATTTTATCCACTAACTAATGTCAATTCATTGCGCCCAATCGTGAAGATATCAATATCCACTCATGGCTATAAATGATATTTTTCAAAACCATATGATATTCCTTTATATTATCCTACACTTAGTGTGCTAAATGTTTTATAACATTAAAAAATAAAATTGATATCTATTGGCAAAATGATTAACTGGAGGATATCGCTACGATATACTCCAAAAAAACATGCGGAAGATATCGTGACGATATACTCCGGAAACCCCAATATGCGGAGGATATTGTGACGATATGCTCCGCTCGTGATTTCCCGCCAAATTGACTCGATTTGGCATGAACTTCATTTTTCAATGATGTTATACATTTAGTACACTCAGTACTAGTAAGTGTAGGATAATAAGAACATCCTATGATTTTTTCAGAATATCATTTAAATCTACTCGGTGATATTGATATATGCACTCGTTTGCTTTGCTCCCTCGAGCAGAAATCAATATCACCTCGTAGATAAAACTGATATTCCTCAAAATCATAGGATATCCTATAAATATGATATGATATCAACTGAATCTGAGAGTAAAAAGCAAATGAAATTATTTAACAACGGGAAGTACTACATCAAAAATATAATACTCAATGGATAAACCGATGAAATGAACAAAGTGTCTCGTGGGGAACAATAATGAAGTTGTTTGCAACATTTCCAATATAAACATTTCCAATATAAAGATGGCAGCAGTGGTAAAACTATATTAACCTTTCTCAAGCGGGGGAGATCTCCCAAAGTTCAGCCTTCATATTCGATCACGTGGTACCCATGTGCTAGACTCATATAAGGCTTATATGACCATTGACCGTATAGGAATCCAACTGACCGTTGTCCGCCATTTTGAATATCATGTGCTAGATCCCTATAAGGCTTACATGACCATATAGGAATCCAACTGACCGTTGTCCGCCATTTTGAATATCATGTGTTAGATCCATATAAGGCTTGTATAACCATATGGGATGGCTAAGGGGAATCCCCGAATACAATAGAATATGATTGTATTATGGGAGCTACTCACTTCTTCTGTTTCTCAAGTATGAAAAAACACAAATTGATTGGCATGCCATCTTTATTTGAAAATTATATCTATAGTTAGCCCTTTTTCCTTTGTAGAATAGTTGTAATATCAACTTTAACAGAAGCGATGATACAGAGCGGGTGTCGACTTTTGGCAATCAACCGAAGATACCTCAAGAAAAACCGGAGATTGCCGAAGCTTTTCTTTGCAAACGAAGTTGGCCGAGGGTACCAAGAATGTGAAGAGGACGCCTCTAATTGGTCAAAAATAGAGGCTCGGCATTCTCCGTCAGATTGAATCGGCAATATTCGGTTGTATGGCTTACCTTCGGTTGTATGGCTTACCTTCGGCTGCATGGCCCAACCTCGATTGATTGGAAAAGATGCTGTCCCGATACAGAGCAGCATTTTGTAAAAAAAAGAACCAGTGAGTGATAATATGCTAAGTTGCAATGATTCAAAAGAAGAAATGTTATGTTATATACTCCATTAATTCAATTTGGACAAAGGAGCATTTCATACATAGGACAAACAACATGAAATGAATTACCTAAAACTTTTAAACATCTGAATGCTAGAAATAAATTTAAGTCGGATTTGAAAAAGTATTATCTGGACAAGTATTACATTGATCTGTATAACATTAAGCTATATGTGCTCCCGGATATGTGCTTATATATGTATATTTATTTCTCTTCTATAACTTTTCTCCTAACTTTCTATCTTTAAAAACAGTTTTATATCTTGTCATCTTGATTAATCCAATTATGAAATATAATCATATGTAACTATATACACCTGTACGGGTGTCAGTTGCCTGTACACTGAACATTGATATAATTGATGAATAAACAACTATGCAAACTTATTTAATGTAAGTATGCAAACTGTATATGAGGGGCCTTATTTAGACTCAGATGGTAGCATAGAGCGTTCGGCATCATCCTGTTTGAAAACTGTGTCATTTACTTTGTACATTTTGTTCATAACTCTTTTTAAGAAATATTTTGAAAAAGTCCCCTATCAATAGAGTTGTATAGCTTTTATCCATTTTTTAATCTTAGGTTATTAATATTTTATTCAATCAATTGTGCATAATATTTTCACGTGAGGGTTATCATCATAATCTTCTATCAATATCATCGAACTATGTTCGTATTTCAATGTTGTTTTATAAGTACAGTATAACCTTATACATTCATATTTCCGACGAAAAATTTACGTTATTATTTCTCAAAGTCCAAATTACTTCATCATCTCTATGACTTCTACTAGAGTTAATGCATTGCCTAACATATGCACCAGTTGAAATACTGAAAATTAAACATATGACTGTCTGAAATCTGCCGCGATAGCTTCTCTGGTCTTTCACTCTACTATACCTAACAACTAGAAATGCATAAGATACTTTGTTTGTCTAATTGTATTGTTTAGTATATTTTCTAAAGTGCCTTAGTAACATCTAACATTCAAACGATAAACCATTAATAAGGAATAGACAAATAAAAACAAATAACATAATCATCATTAATAAGCCAAATGGGTTGCTCATGAACACCAGATGCAAGGTATAGTAGAGTGTCTTTACTTCAATCGTTCAATGATTTTTATGCTCACACATGAAACCAGTTTTTTCAGAGCATACAAAATCTGCCCAGTTGTAGTCATAGTTTAATTTAGTGATCATTATGACGCATTTCTCATTACCCCAACCAGGGTCGTATCGTCCCCAAGAGAAGTATGTTGCTGTATCCGTTGACCCACTCCAATGATAGAGGCCAGTGCCAACGTCTCGCTTAAGGCCAATGTGCATCCAACCTTAAACAAATATCGGCAGTTTGATTATAGGCAGGGACCGAGGGACCGAGGGAGATACACATATTTCCCTTGGGATAAACACTGTATCCAAAACCGACCGTACATAACAGATGTATTTCATACCTACTGAGGTTCTAAGTACATCATACCTTATAAAGATCAAAAATTCCAAAACATACTTAAGGTACTAGGCGTTTTCTTGGCCTTAAAGTTTGCGAGGTTTTCAAAAAATTTGAAAAAAGAAATCTTAAAAAATTGAAAGAAAATGTGAAAAATAATTTTGAAAAAAAAATTACCAAAATGTTTAAAAACAATTTTAAAAAAATGTTGAAAAAAAAATTGGTAAAAAAAATTTGGAAAAAGATTGTTGAAAAAAAAATTGGAAAAAAATTCCCAAAAAATTTACAGGAGCGGGACCGGGATGGATACAGCGTGTATTCATCCCGGTCCCTAGATCAACTATATATTCCCGCTCGTTATGTACCTAGAACCGCAGTAGATATGAAATACAAACATATATTCCCAACAATATATGAATGGTCCAATGCATGACAGGATTCGATATCAGGGTCTTCACCTACAGATTATATGTATACTTCTCTTTTAAACGTAATATAAATTCGCACCAATATGAATCATGAAAACATGGATAAATATATCTAATTGAGTGAAAAAGGGGTTATTCTAGTACCGTTTTTGTAACGATATCTTCATCAAACATCTCCAGGACTGGGAATTTTCTAGCAAATCCTGGCTACGGACCTGAGCACTATTTTAGTACTCGGTATATCTCCCTGTGCATTTCATGTGACTACATAAACTTGTTCACTGACTATAGACAATTAACTAAAGAGTGCTTTGATTTCAATCTCTTCGCTGTTAGATACTGTTTGTGGCCGTATTGTTTATATTTGAACAAGGTCGAAAGTTTTTACCGATTCATTCATTCGGTCGTCAATAATGTCTGTTAATAACGAGCGCTTTTAGACTTAAACAACTGTTGATCAGAACCTTACTTATGGAGTGAATCTTGAGCGAAAGCTTTGTCTAAACTAGTCATCTCCATATCAAAGCTAATTTAAATTTGTGCATATCGAATGCTGACATTTCGTAGTGAGTAAAAAATAGTAAAACAAGTTTTGTTGTGTACCATACCCATGCCATGTCTGCGGAGGTAGCCCCTTAGAGCATTTTGTTCATCTGCAGTTTCAATAGCTGTCAAGTATGCGCCATGTTCCTGACATTTCAGCTCAGCATCCGTCCAGCTCAAAGGTCCCGGGTAGAAACAATACGTGGAGCCATTGTAGGTGTAGGGTGAATATAAGCCCACGCCGCATGCTAGAATCAAAAACACGCATTGTAGAAATAATAGATGGCGCTATTGTAGCTACAGGGTTCATATAAGCCCACGCCACATGCTAGAATCAAAAACACACATTGTAGGAACAATAGATGGCGCCATTGTAGCTACAGGGTTCATATAAGCCCACGCCACATGCTAGAATCAATAACACACATTGTAGGAACAATAGATGTCGCCATTGTAGCTACAGGGTTCATATAAGCCCACGCCACATGCTAGAATCAATAACACACATTGTAGGAACAATAGATGGAGCCATTGTAGCTACAGGGTTCATATAAGCCGACACCACATGCTAGAATCAATAACACACATTGTAGGAACAATAGATGGAGCCATTGTAGCTACAGGGTTCATATAAGCCCATGCCACATGCTAGAATCAATAACACACATTGTAGGAACAATAGATGGCGCCATTGTAGCTACAGGGTTCATATAAGCCCACCCCGCAAGCTAGAATCAAAAACACGCATTGTAGAAACAATAGGTGGAGCCATTGTAGCTACAGGGTTCATATAAGCCCACGCCACATGCTAGAATCAATAACACACATTGTAGGAACAATAGATGGCGCCATTGTAGCTACAGGGTTCATATAACCCCACGCCGCATGCTAGAATCAATAACACACATTGTAGGAACAATAGATGGCGCCATTGTAGCTACAGGGTTCATATAAGCCCACGCCACATGCTAGAATCAATAACACACATTGTAGGAACAATAGATGGCGCCATTGTAGCTACAGGGTTCATATAAGCCCATGCCACATGCTAGAATCAATAACACACATTGTAGGAACAATAGATGGCGCCATTGTAGCTACAGGGTTCATATAAGCCCACGCCACATGCTAGAATCAATAACACACATTGTAGGAACAATAGATGTCGCCATTGTAGCTACAGGGTTCATATAAGCCCACGCCACATGCTAGAATCAATAACACACATTGTAGGAACAATAGATGGAGCCATTGTAGCTACAGGGTTCATATAAGCCGACGCCACATGCTAGAATCAATAACACACATTGTAGGAACAATAGATGGAGCCATTGTAGCTACAGGGTTCATATAAGCCCATGCCACATGCTAGAATCAATAACACACATTGTAGGAACAATAGATGGCGCCATTGTAGCTACAGGGTTCATATAAGCCCACGCCACATGCTAGAATCAATAACACACATTGTAGGAACAATAGATGGCGCCATTGTAGCTACAGGGTTCATATAAGCCCACGCCACATGCTAGAATCAATAACACACATTGTAGAAACAATAGATGGCGCCATTGTAGCTACAGGGTTCATATAAGCCCACCCCGCAAGCTAGAATCAAAAACACGCATTGTAGAAACAATAGGTGGAGCCATTGTAGCTACAGGGTTCATATAAGCCCACGCCACATGCTAGAATCAATAACACACATTGTAGGAACAATAGATGGCGCCATTGTAGCTACAGGGTTCATATAAGCTCACGCCACATGCTAGAATCAAAAACACGCATTGTAGGAACAATAGATGGCGCCATTGTAGCTACAGGGTTCATATAAGCCCACGCCACATGCTAGAATCAATAACACACATTGTAGGAACAATAGATGGCGCCATTGTAGCTACAGGGTTCATATAAGCCCACGCCACATGCTAGAATCAATAACACACATTGTAGGAACAATAGATGGCGCCATTGTAGCTACAGGGTTCATATAAGCCCACGCCACATGCTAGAATCAATAACACACATTGTAGGAACAATAGATGGCGCCATTGTAGCTACAGGGTTCATATAAGCCCACGCCACATGCTAGAATCAATAACACACATTGTAGGAACAATAGATGGCGCCATTGTAGCTACAGGGTTCATATAAGCCCACCCCGCAAGCTAGAATCAAAAACACGCATTGTAGAAACAATAGGTGGAGCCATTGTAGCTACAGGGTTCATATAACCCCACGCCGCATGCTAGAATCAAAGTCACCCATTGGTACCAAAACACGCTTCTCACAGTGCGATTATCGAGTCTTAAGTCGCGAACCACCAATTCCTCTTTCCCGAACATATTTCTCCTCTCACGAACTGAGATCCAACATTGCGAACCATAAAGCTGTGGGGTTCGCGATGTGGGAATTCGGTGCCATAGTGGAGAAATATGTTTGGGAGAAGGGAACTTGTAGATAGCGACTAAAGAATCGATATTCGCGTTGTTAGAACCGTGGTTCGGCCGGAAGGAAGGGGGGGATTGATCATGAGGAAGACAGTTTCAATAAACTTTTTAATTTTCAAACTCTCAATTTTGTTTTTCATACTGGAACCTTTGTGTAACCCTTTAAAACGAGTGAAACATTTTTAGAATCTTTTGAGTGCTATTTAATTGGCAAACGATATAATAAGACTCGTAAGCAGGCGTGTTTCTCGAAGCATTCAAAAATGTATGTTGTAAAAGTACGTTATGTATGGGATTCATGAAATTCAGCTATTCTTTTGGTAATTTACTGTTGAAAACTTGCTGAGGAGAACTTAAATAGGAAATCTGATTATGTAAAACACAAGATAACTGTTAACAAACGTAAAGCAGTTATTGAACTTACTAACACTTCTTTCACAAGTATTTGTTGATAAACTTGCGTCATACTGAAATAATCAACTAGATACACTCAATTGTCTAGATTTGATACAAGTCCATTGAATGTGGGGAGAATTGGATATTGAGTTGATAGACAATAGGGAGTTTAAGCTTGCAATGTTTTTCACAACCTAAACGCGAACAGAAAATATTTAAGCGATGTATTTGTATGGGCGATTGGTCATACGTAAAGGTTGGCGTTTCGATTTTTTATGCAAGCTTAAACTCTCTATTCGCTGGTCAACTTTGCTGAATTTTTTTGTAAATATTGCACGTCTTAGCACTTCATATATTACCATTCAAATGTTATAGAATCATATTTCATTTCTACGTCTTAACAGGACCGTCAGATGGGGGGGGGGGGGGTGCGCTTAGTGCGACCACATCCCCCTCTGACACCCCTCCCCCGAAAAAGAATTTACATTGATTTAATGTCACCCCTCAATACTCAATGCTACTTAGATTCCATTCTGAAATCAAATTTATGCACGCAATCAAACCCGAAATCTTATTAAAAATGACATGCTTATATTGAAATTCTGATCATTTCTTCTGCAAAGCATGTCGTCGATCATTAAAAACAAAAATACTTTTATAATAAACATTAACGTGTATTGAGGTTTGGCGCTAAATTGACAAAGCATATTACATATACTTGCATATACTAGTTAATGAAATTGAAATAGGAAATACAATAAAAATTAAATATCATTGAAATACTCGTGTATGCCACTGATTGCAAAATGTATGGACCAGAATACATCCATTGATAGGAATAATTAGAAAGCACTGACTGAGCGGACTGACGCACAGCAACAGAAGGCAAAATAGTGAAAGTATTCGGAAAGTGTACTTTGGATTGTGTAACCCATAATAGAAACTACTTATTGAGAAGATATCTTATTTTTACCCGTTACTACTATACCCTGATAAAAGTCGATAACTAAAATTACATTTTTCTATAAAAGTGACTCAACTTGGCACTTCGAAAAATATTTTCAGCAGATGTCGGATAACCACAAATTAACCAGTATATAAATTTGAACATAGCGTCTCTATCTGTTTTGGAATTAACAAATTAATAGGAAACATATTTTTACTTTATGATCAAGTGATCATCGTTTATGTCTGGGTCACATTTGCTCCGATTTCCGCTACGGCGCCCGTCCGATTGAGTATTTTGATCAGAATTGAATACAATATTGAACAAAACATCCAATCGGCCGGGCGCCGGACGATGAATCGGAGCAAATGTGACCCAGGCATTAGTAACTAAGTTGACTCTGGTGGATTTGAGTATTGAAACAAACCTTTGTTCATTGCGTATAAATGCGGGTAAAATATTATAGAAACGATAGTTTGGAGTGTAAGCATCTGCGCTGTCTCCAATAAATTTGAATTAGATGTACTAAACTTCCAAAAAAGTTTGTCATTATTAATGAAATCTATCCTCTAATATAAAGTAGTATTTATGATCAACTCACGTTCCCTGACGTAATAATGGTCAGTATCATCCACGTGGGCATTTTCACATATTACCCATTCAAGCAAATCACATATGAACGTCGTTTTGGTCATTTGCTTTACGTTTGTATGTCCGCATCGCTTTGTATTTAGACAGGCAATGACACATTCCGCGTGCGAACTTCTTTCGAGAGTTCCCAGGTGACCTAAATTGTTATCGGATATAAAGACGGTCTTCTTTTCTCTCATGAAGGTCTTCCCATTGAAAGTCGTACACTCCGTTAAGACAAAAGGTATGAACGCAAATATTATCTTGGATGCTTTTATCAAGTCACCAAGTTTCGCCATGATACGCTATTGAAGGTTTGTTCATCATCAGATCGAACTCCAATGCAAATAATCACAATGCCGTTTGATTTATATGGGAAAGGCTCAGAAAAAGTAACTCACTTAATAACTTGCCATTTTATGCCATTAAGCGATTTTATGCTTTTATTTCTAATCAACATAATGAACGTCACGATTTGATATCAATTTGCAGGATATGATCACGTGGGCAATCACGAGCATCTGTTTGATTGCAATCGCGCATCAGATTTACCGAAATTTCCTCACCTGTGAGGTGTTGAATATGCAGGTTAGTTCAAACAAAGAGGATTAGCTCCCAGGGTTCAAACAAACAAACAAACAAGCAAACATTATTCTGTACAATACCAAGTCGCTCGGTGTCCTCTACACAGGGTGTGTACCAAATTAGCGTGGCAATTGTTTACAGGGTAAGGTGAAACGCGAGGGTGTGGAATTTGAGCAAGTCGATGTTTTCATCATTTCAGAAACATCTTGTATAGTTTCTAGATTTAAAAATCAATGTAACATATTTACAGGTTGTAGTGGTATTTACAATGATTTGTTAAATATTATAAGAAGTGTACATGTAATTGTGTAAAGTATGATATTGTTCATAATTGAGAAAATAAACTGATTTAATGGAAATGATTAAAGGTCTCTTCTACAATAACAGGTGCAAGCAATAAAAATAAGTAAATGTTTAAAATAACATCCTAGACAGAATCAGTGACACCAAATTGTTATGCCTGAATATGAAGCAGAATTATGTTAGAAAGATTTTAATGCAAAAAAGTTACACTTTATCGCAAAGTACCTTGGCCTAAAAATTACTTTGCGATGAGTGTGTATTTTTGCATTAAAATCTTCCTAACATCATTCTGCTTCGTATTAGGTACAGCACGCGTGGTACAGGGTGCCAAAAAATGACACCCATCTTATATTGCATTACTTGTTTATTTATTAACATTTAGACTTGTCCTTAGGCGGCACATTCAAAGTAGACATAATGCAGAAGCAGCTCCTACAAGTACAGATGTGTACACTTGTGCTCCGCTCGATTCGTTTTGGTAACAAAATGTCGGAACGTCGAAGGTACGATTTTTCTTTTTTCCTTATTTCACACGTTGTAGGCAGAATTCCCACGACATTTTTATCAAAAATGTGTATCAGTATCATATGTTTAAGCAAATTTACATATTTGTGAACAAATAGCTCAGAAGACAACAGCATCGTCGATTTAATTCCTCACTTAAGTTACATAAACTATATAGGTTAAAAGTGCAGATCTTAAAGAGGGACATGGGGTATAAATAGGAGGAAGACTAATGGAACAGGATTTTTGATTTTTTCACAAAACTGGTCAATTTTCTCAAACTTCATATAAATTGAGAAAATGTATTGCTTCCAATTTTGTTATGTGTTTCTTTCAATGTATTGATGTTCATATTCTGCAGTTAGATTTTAACTTCATCCTTTTGTTGGGTTGTGATAAGATATTTAAAAAACAGAAATAACATTTTCAAATCTAAAAGTCCTCAAGCTTAGCCAATCAGAATCAAGTATTAAGCGATGCTGTTAATTAAACTTACTCATCCTGAAATTCTGTTCCATATTAAAGTGTGGATGTAACCTGATATTTTAATGGGAGTTGCTAGCATCTTTAAAACCGGCCTTTAACTGTTTTTCGCAATACTGATTATGTAACTTAAGTGAGGAATTAAATCGACGATGCTGTTGTCTTCTGAGCTATCTCTTCAAAAATATCCTCAAAAAGTTATATTTTGTAATTTCTGCTCAATTATTTTTATGCTCACAAATGAAACCATATCTTCCAGAGCAATACCAATCGCCCCAGTTATAGTCATGGATCCAGTACTTGCTCAACAGCACACAGGATTCACCCTTACGCTCCTGGGGATTGTCTTCTGCCCAAGAGAAGTATGTCACTGTATCGGATAACCCGCTCCAATGATAAATGCCAGTGTCCTCATCTCGCCTGAGGCCAATGTACATGTCATCTGAAACACAATATGGAAGTTTGGCTAAATAAAAAGTATTTCAAAGTGTTAGTTATGCAGTGCCATTCAAAGGTGCGTGACCTTCCCCTCCCCCAATGCAGAGATGGTCGGAACTTTGACACGCAGCGGGTGGACTTTTATCATAGTACTTTTCTAGTGAGAGGGAAGTTTGAAATCGATAGCGGCCTCGATCATGTTTTACTCAAATGTCCAGCTTTTTCCGAATTAAGGAAAGCCATGGTTGACATTGCAACCAGAAATTTAAAAATCAAAATTAAAAAAGGTAAAACTCGGATGTTGTGATTATGAAATTTAAAAGCCATATGGAAACATATATGATGCATAAGCATCTACAACCGCTTTTGTCAAATATCAAATCATTACCTTTAAGAATTATTGTTTGATGCTTTTTACTAATTAATCATTTTATGTTATATTAATGTAAATTCCTTTATAGGCAAAAGAGGCACATAAATGTATCTGCATGGTTAGGTCAATGTTTCTACGAAAAGGCAAGGACCGTATTCTGTCAAAACGTCGAAATCAATGAGTACTTTCAAATCTCCAGCCGATAATACTGGGAATCACTTCGTAAACGTAAAAGTACATGAGGGACATAGTATGTCTGTATAATCAGCTTACTTTTTCGCTCCCTGTACTATTGAACAATTTACATTCCTTGTACCCTGTATTGAATCTTTGCAACGGTGTACCGTGTACTATGACATATCAAAAATTTCAAAATTTAAAACGATATTATTTACATTCTTTCTTCAACTTTCATATAACTTGGAACATGGACTTCACTATTGCACCACTGAAGTTCAGCGAATAGCTATAATTGACTCACTTCGAGCACCAAACGTATTAACCTTTTGACTAAGCAGTCGATATACTCAAAAGCGACCTGGTTGAAAGCAAAAAAAATCGCGCATGCGCAATCGAGGTAGGGTAGTGTGGAAAAGTCTGAATTTCTCGAATTAATTAAAATGAAAGTGAAAGTGGATTATGCAAATTGATTGAAATGCTTGAAATGATGCAAGCATTGAAACCATTGAAACGAAGTTTGTAGTGTATAAAAGTTTTTTCTCGGCTGGTGAATCTTGAGCGAAAGTTGTGCTTTGTCTAAAATATTCGGCGACACATCAAACAAGTAAAAATGATAACAGATAAGTAAGTTAGCATCTATGGAACTTTCCTTTAGTGTCAAAAATATAGTAAAATAAGTTTTGATGTGTAACATACCAGTGCCATGTCTGCGCACGTAGCTTTGTAAAGCATGTTGTTCTTCTTCGGTTTCAATGGCAGCCAAGTATGCGCCATTTTCCTGACACTTCGGCTCAGCATCCCACCAGCTCAGAGGACCAGGGTAGAAACAATAGATGGAACCATTGTAGCTGTAGGGGAAATATAAGCCCACTTCACATGCTAAAACCAAAAAAACTCGCATTGTAGGAACAATAGATGGATCCATTGTAGCTGTGGGGTCCACATTAGCCCACGTCGCATACTAGAATAAAAAACACGCATCGTAGGAACAATAGATGGATCCATTGTAGATGTAGGGTCCATATTAGCCCACGCTGCATGCTAGAATCAAACACATGCATTATAAGAACAATGGATGGCGCTATTGTTGCTGTAGGGTCCATATTAGCCCACGCTGCATGCTAGAATCAAACACATGCATTATAAGAACAATGGATGGCGCTATTGTTGCTGTAGGGTCCACATTAGCCCACGTCGCATACTAGAATAAAAAACACGCATTGTAGGAACAATAGATGGATCCATTGTAGATGTAGGGTCCATATTAGCCCACGCTGCATGCTAAAATCAAACACATGCATTATAAGAACAATGGATGGCGCTATTGTTGCTGTAGGGTCCATATTAGCCCACGCTGCATGCTAGAATCAAACACATGTATTATAAGAACAATGGATGGCGCTATTGTTGCTGTAGGGTCCATATTAGCCCACGTCGCATACTAGAATAAAAAACACGCATTGTAGGAACAATAGATGGATCCATTGTAGATGTAAGGTCCATATTAGCCCACGCTGCATGCTAGAATCAAACACATGCATTATAAGAACAATGGATGGCGCTATTGTTGCTGTAGGGTCCATATTAGCCCACGCTGCATGCTAGAATCAAACACATGCATTATAAGAACAATGGATGGCGCTATTGTTGCTGTAGGGTCCATATTAGCCCACGTCGCATACTAGAATAAAAAACACGCATTGTAGGAACAATAGATGGATCCATTGTAGATGTAGGGTCCATATTAGCCCACGCTGCATGCTAGAATCAAACACATGCATTATAAGAACAATGGATGGCGCTATTGTTGCTGTAGGGTCCATATTAGCCCACGCTGCATGCTAGAATCAAACACATGCATTATAAGAACAATGGATGGCGCTATTGTTGCTGTAGGGTCCATATTAGCCCGCGTCGCATACTAGAATAAAAAACACGCATTGTAGGAACAATAAATGGATCCATTGTAGATGTAGGGTCCATATTAGCCCACGCTGCATGCTAGAATCAAACACATGCATTATAAGAACAATGGATGGCGCTATTGTTGCTGTAGGGTCCATATTAGCCCGCGTCGCATACTAGAATAAAAAACACGCATTGTAGGAACAATAGATGGATCCATTGTAGATGTAGGGTCCATATTAGCCCACGCTGCATGCTAGAATCAAACACATGCATTATAAGAACAATGGATGGCGCTATTGTAGCTGTAGGCTCCATATTAGCCCACGTCCTATACTAGAATAAAAAACACACATCGTAGAAACAATAGATGGATCTATTGTAGCTGTAGGGTCCATATTAGCCCACGCTGCATGCTAGAATCAAAAACACACATTGTAGGAACATTTGACAGAGCCATTGTAGCTGTAGGGTCCATATAAGCCCATGCCACATGCTGAAACCAAAAACACGTATTGTTAACACTGAGCTTACCGGTACGTTGAAAATGTTAGTGTCGGAAAAATCTTCCGATGCGTTAATTTTATGTTTGATATTAATACATTTTCAAAATCAGCTATACTTTAATCAAGTGAAGTATTTATATACAATATCAATAATTTGATTTCTGTCGAGGAACCCTTTTCGAATATTTGATCACTTCTTGTTATGCCCATTGTTTTAGCATCGAAACACAATTTGTTCTTCCAAAATTGAAGTGAATAAAATTTAATTTGGATGTGTGTCGAAGTACAAGTTATTTTTTATGTTTATTACAATGCCATTTCATTTCAAATAAAAATAAAAATGGTAAATAATATTTAAATCAAATTGTTGTTTAACTTATGCTTATGATAAGCGAATGTATAATAGCACCCTATTCCGACGGAGCCTATGGAAAATATTGGCGTGGCAGAAATGGGCGTTTACCACGCATACACACGTAGCTATAGAGATGGAGTGTCATATGATTGAAACACGAGCCACGTTTACCAAGACCACACTACATAGCTTTTACTTGGGAAATAATTTTCTATAAATTTGACATAGTTGCAAAATTTTCCAGTGACTGTTTACATGGACCCAAAGCCCATTTGTACTCTTACATTTGAGCTCCTGGTTTTCTGTTCAGTTGGGCTTATGCCTGGGTCACATTTGCCCCGAGTATTTTGTTCAAAATTGTATACATTTTTGACCAGAATACTTAATCGGCCGGGCGCCGGTCGATCGATGAACCGCGGAGCAAATTTGACCCAGGCATTAGTCTACCCTTTTATCCCATGATGTAGCCAAGAAAAACCACACATGGGAATATGAAAGCAGACTGAGTCCACTCTGGTTTTCTGTTCTGTCAGGCTTAGTCTACTCTATCATCCCATGATGTAGCCAAGAAAACCCACACACAGTAACGCCTTGGCAACATTTGCTCCGATTTTCACTAAGGCGCCCGGCCGATTGAGTATTTTGTTCAAAATTGAATACAATATTGAACATAACACTCAATCGGCCGGGCGCCGGCCGATGGATCAGACCAAATGTGACCCTGGCATAATATGAAAGTAGACTGAGCCCAACTGTGTACATTTTAACTCTTGGTTTTCTCTACAGTTGGGCGTCAATAGGTCAGCAGTTTAGAACATTTTAGAAAATGTTGTCCCCAAAGTTTCTCACTGGATTCATGCAGAGCAAGGTCTTAGGCTTATTTTGAGCTCGAGGTTCTCTGTCCGAAGCCCGGCAATGAATGCGAAACATGATGCAATCTCATGCGTCGCCTCTTCATTACTAAAATTAGACGTTCCCATTCCACACAGTGAAGAAATTAAAAATAGATTAAAAGTACTGTTTCTATATACATTTTGTTCCACTGAAGATATAATACAAGCACACATAATTTTGTAATTTTCTATAATCGAGGGTAATAGGCAAAATTATAATTTAATGCACTAATATAAGAAGTAATTAAGTATCAACTCACGTTCCCTGACGTAATAATGGTCTGCATCATCCATATGGGATTTTTCACCTATAACCCATTCAAGCAAATCACATATGAACGTCGTTTCGGTCATTTGCTTTACGTTTGTATGTCCGCATCGCTTTGTATTTATGTAAATGGGCGATGGAAGGCCGTGGGTGGCAAATAATAAAACGTAAGATTTAAGTAAAATGTCTCAAAAATATATATTTCCAACTTCAAAACACAGTGTTCTGTACACAATCTATCATATACCTCTAGGCAACTATTGACAAAAACTGGGGCAACACCCCAACTCAGATGTGAGTGAATAATACCAAATATGGAACATAAAACATAACTTAAAACAAACACAGCATGACACAACATACAAAACAGGTTTAAACAAAAGAAAAGTAAGTGAAAGTGAACATACAAAGCACATACAAAAGAACATAAACAACGGGATTAAAACCTAACACACTGATGCAAAAGTAAGTAAAGGGACCTGTTAAAATGACCTGAATGGGGATTGATCACCATGAATAGTAGAAATATAAAAATGTAAAAATGACCATGTTACATCCACGCGGACACGTCCTAATGCGTCCCGCATTAAACCTTATTCGGCCACTAATATCAAGTATACATTACGTAAAGTGTGAACATGAGAGTTTAAATACTACTAATTGTAAAGAAATATAACATCTCTGTATAAAAATGAGGGTATTCCTCCCCTTAAACAACCACTACCTTCAAAATTATAAAGCACAATATTACATATCTCTATAATTGAAGTGTTGATTAAGTTAAATGACAAGCAATTTAAATTTCAAAGAATATTTTAAACAAAACCATTTCAGGCTTATATATACGTGTTTAACACCATAAAAGGCAAATTGTAACACCATGTAGGCTATATGAGTACACCATTTAAGGCTATAAGTACACCATGTAAGGCTACTAATAACACCATTTAAGGCAATGTTAGGAAACACCATATTGGCTAATATACACCACATAAAGGCTTGAAATACACTATTACAACTTGAATTACACACCATGTTAGGCTTAAATTACACCATGAAATGTTCTGATAGCTAAAGGTTTTTCATTCAAATGAATCAACCCTTTAAATAACATGTTCTTAATGCAAAATATACTAGAATAGTATGAATAAATGTTTGCAGTTCTTATGAGTTTGTGCAATGACGGTAATCAAGTAACTTCTTGTTCCATTGTAGATAAAATGTTGATCTTCTTAAGACCTACATATTGTGTTGTCGAATGGCTGTTCAGTGGTTTTAGTTTTACACTTACTTGGGGCTATATGAGGCATTCCAAACATATGCAGTCCAAGTTTCCATAGGTCCAAATTTGAATCCGTTGAATTTGTTGCATAATCACATTTTCCAACCAGTATATTTCTCTGAAGTTGATTGTCGAGTTTAGCATTCATATCACGTATCATTGTCGAGTATTCGTTGTTCCGAGATTGAAGAGATGTAATAAGTTTCTGCGATTCCTGTAGTTGAGATATTAGATGATCTGGATTTAAATCAGCTTTTTGATCATTTGTTGCATATGCAGTGAGTTCCTCTTCTAAAGATAAAATACGTTTCTTTTGTGACTTCAATTGTAATTTAAGATTAGCTGTATCCGTCTCCATTGTGCAAATTTTCTCACGATAAATGTCATTACCATGTTTTTGTCCATAAAGTTCACTTTCTATTTTCTTGTAATTTTTGACAGCAGTTATATATTTATCCATGTCAAACGTCTGTGTCTGCGAATACTTGCTGTGGTTCGGTTTGTAAGTTTCCTTTATTTTCTTGGTTTGCACGGATGCCGTTTTAAGGTCAGGGTGCATGTTGTTCGGAATTTTGATGCAATTAGTATTCGTTGTTGGCTCACAATGATCCTTGTTACGGTGTCCATATGTGGCGCATAATGAACAATAGTGACGTGCCATCTTGTATCTCTTACATGTTGCTTTATGATGTCCAGGAATTTTGCAAAACCAACAAGTTTGAATTGAAGAGTATTGCATGTCACGAAATAAATATCCATTGATGTTTTCCAAATCACTTCGCATTTTATCCAAGTGTTCGAAGAAAGATGACATAAGGTTAGTCATTGTTCCTAAAGTTTCAGAAATCGTTTTCTCCATTTTGACAGCTTCTTGTTTACTAATTGAATATCCTTGATTGCCTAATAATATATCTGCCTTACCCCACTGTTGCTCGTGCTCACCCCACTCCTGGTACCATTGTAAATGGGCGATGGAAGGCCGTGGGTGGCAAATAATAAAACGTAAGATTTAAGTAAAATGTCTCAAAAATATATATTTCCAACTTCAAAACACAGTGTTCTGTACACAATCTATCATATACCTCTAGGCAACTATTGACAAAAACTGGGGCAACACCCCAACTCAGATGTGAGTGAATAATACCAAATATGGAACATAAAACATAACTTAAAACAAACACAGCATGACACAACATACAAAACAGGTTTAAACAAAAGAAAAGTAAGTGAAAGTGAACATACAAAGCACATACAAAAGAACATAAACAACGGGATTAAAACCTAACACACTGATGCAAAAGTAAGTAAAGGGACCTGTTAAAATGACCTGAATGGGGATTGATCACCATGAATAGTAGAAATATAAAAATGTAAAAATGACCATGTTACATTTAGACAGGCAATGACACATTCTGAGTGCGAACTTCTTTCGAGAGTTCCCAGGTGACCTAAATTGTTATCGGATATAAAGACGGTCTTCTTTTCTCTGATGAAGGTCTTTCCATTGAAAGTCGTACTTCCCGTTAAGACAAAAAGTGCAAATGTAAGTAGTATCTTGTACGCTTTTATCAAATCTCGTACTCTCGCCATTATAATTCATATACGTTATAATTGAACAGTTGCTCATCAGCTCGTGCTCAAATTCCAATAATCAGTTATACCTGTTGTAAAATCCTTTATATATAGGAGAGGCTACAAAATAAAGCCATAAAGCACATATGTTGACTACGAAGGGCTTGATATCACGTCCAAGCACAAAATCAATCATCTATTTTTGGAAACTTGTAACCATGACAACGTACAGGGTGACCCAAAAAAATGCAACCCTCCATTTCTTCTATATTTTTCTTAAATTGAAGTTAATTGCTCTGAAATTTGGCACTCAAGGACTTCATTCAATGTGGGATCCTCTGGCAAAGTTTTAATAATCATAGTCTTATATTGATAGAGTTATGGTTGTTTCGAAATATGCTCCAGATGTCGTCAATTTTGCTGAAAACAAAATTCAAGGAAAACTGTTCATAACACGGATGCATTCTTCCCCATGGGTATGTGGGTATGGCTCAAATTTTGCAGCCATTGCTTGTTGGAGTTCTGCAATTGCGGTAGGGTTATTTTCATACCTATCATCCTTTAAATAACCCCATATATAGAAGTCAGGGTCATTGAGATCAAGATTGTGGGATGACCATGGGTTCTCCGTCCTAGAAGAGATCATCTTCTCATAGAAATGACAAGTGAGCCAGGCTATTCTATCATTAGAAGTGTGAGGAGTAGCTCCATCCTTCTAAAACCACTGCTCTTGTCTATTGAAGCCTCTATGTCACTCTAGAACTGCCTAGAACTTCCTGGGAACGCCAATATTGCGCTGTGTGTTAACAGTAACAGTGTTGCCATTATCAACCTCAAACCAAAAGGGGCTGATGATTTCATGTTTGGAAATTGGCAGCCCAAGCTGTGCATTTAACAGAATGAAGGGGCCTTTGAAGCACTTCATCTGGAATTTGTGATCCCAGAACACATTATTTATTGAGTTTACATGTTCAGAAAGAAGGAAATGCGATTCATCCGAAAACCTAACATTGGGAATGGACGACATTTGGAGCATATTTTGGAATGATCATAACTCTATCAATATAAGACTATGATTATTGAAACTTCGCCAGAGGATCCCACATTGAATGAAATCCTTGTGTGCCAAATTTCAGAGCAATTAACCTCGATTCAAGAAAAATATTGAAGAAATGGAGGGTTGCATTTTTTGGGTCACCCTGTATAAAGTGGGACTTTAAAACCTATTGATTCTGAAGGAGTATTGCATCTAGTGTGACATGAAACAATGTCTAAAAACCCGTTTCCTATTCACCTTTCCCCAAAGTCCAAAGTGTACTCATTTGACCGCTGCGCTGATTGGTCGATGAAAACCAATGACGTCAAAGCAGGGCACATTTCGCGCCAAAACTTCAATTACTATTGGGTCGCCCAATGAGTGAAATAAATCTCATTATAAAATGATAACAAAACTAAGTGAAATATATTTTTCTGACTATTTTGCCTTAAGATGTGTCTTAAATACACCATCCGGTAAATCAAACCATAGAAATAATTGTGATACGAGTGCTAGTCTTTTAACAAAGTGAATCCAATTACGCAAACCAAAAATTGACAATTATTCAAACAATAAGACTGTATGGATTAGGAATATACATTTATCATGATTATTCAATTAAATAGTTCATTATGTTTTTAATAAAAAATATATGAACAACAGTTTTAAATGTCAAGAGTCCACTTGCATTTTTATCATCGGTTTGCCCAAATAATTTGGGATTGGTCATGTATTTTTGCAGGTCTGGTCAGATACTCTTTCAAAATTATGCAGCTTTTTACCATTCTGAGCACTTTTTGCATGATTTTTTGCCAAAACTGTCAAAAAGCTCCCCTTGGTAAACCGCCGGAGTTTCTCTCTTGTACGTCTACGTCCAAAAATATCCTAAAAGTTCTCTAAAAAGTTCGATATTTAAATTAGAACGCCCATGGGCTTTTCAAGAGATAAATCTCCTCAAATAGACGATTGTCGGTAAAACAGGCAACTCTGGTACATTGTCTCAATAAGCATACATGAACGGCCTTAACATTCAATGAAATTAGTCATCACTCATGTAACCATTGTCAAATTCTTCGGCAGACATAAAAGTAACATTGTCATGTGGTATAATAAGTAGCTGATTGTAAGTGAAAGTAACGCTTTGGCCCAGATTTGAGAGTCGAATACTTTTTTTCAAGGTTAAGCCGTACCCCCTTCTTCACTCCCCATGAGAAAATATTACACAAACTTAAGATTACCATGGGATGTTAACATTTTGACAGTCAAGAACTAACATGGGGTTTTGTACAGTCGGCGTAATTTGAAAATGTACAGGAAACATTGGACTCTTCACATCAATATTTCTCTATTCATTTGATTCCCCAGAACAATATAAAGAAGGGGGAATATAGACGGGAGTATAATTAATTAAATTCCATTACATTTATCATAAATATTATCACTACTCAATATAATTTGACAATAAAATTAACCCGTTTCCGTCATGATTCCCATTGACTTCTAATGTGTTAGGATTTTCCCGCGAAAATCTGCCCTACTCTGACGTCAGAGTTTTCAGATTTGCTAATTATAATATTCATGAGCTGACTTTGGGGAAAGGTGAATACTATTCAAGAACAAATATCCTAATTCGAAGATAAGAAAAACAAGGGACATTTTATTCATATTGAAGTCATTACAATATATGTTGAAGAAAAAATCGAAATTGATAGCCATTTGTGACGTCATTACATCAAGATAAGATTTTTGCTGATTTTACTAAATTCATAAGAAAACAAGATCGAATGAAACAGTCTTAAATGATGTGGGGTAGACAAAATGCAGTCTCAAAGTCCATATAGACTTTTTAAAGGGTCAACATCCATTCGCAAAGCTGTCGCCATAATTCATGAAACACATATGGAAATAATTCACAATGTTTATGCGGAGGAAACTATTGCTGGTTTTGATCCCTATTTCTAAACCATTAATGCCATAACCAGGGCTAACCTCAAAATGGTCCAAACGTGACTGTTAAAAACTATTAAATCATATAGGATGCTCTTAACATAATAAAATACATGTTTGATTTAGCAGGTTTGTCATCTTTTCATGTATGCTAGTGTCAGTTATTCAAATACATATAATAGCTTTCAATTTGGCCTTGGTGGTATAATTAAACATAATTTAATTGTCATGACACCATCATTGTTTGGAAATGTTACATTGACGGACCTTCTTTTGTTGCTGATTTAATACATTCATATTCAGAGTTGTGGAACCTTTCTAATAATGAAAATGTATACCATATGTAAAAGAGTAATAATTCTACGGATGACTATAATGGAATTAGACTTTGAGAGAATCAATATTGCTCATATATGGTGCACTGCTAGTAAATATGATTTATTGGAGTTTTGAAATTGATGTTAAATAGACAATTTATTTTTTATTTTGCTCATGGTTATACTAGCAATACACCAAACGAATAGTATATTTTATGTCAAAAGATGCTTCGTTTGAAAAAAAACATATTGATACTATTGTGAAATTAATGACAGGTCAGTTAGGCCTAGATGGTCATTAAAATAGGACAAGGCAAAAGAAAATGGACGATTTTTCAATGTGTGCAATTTAAATCAAATTGAATCAACCGAGCCTTTTATTTGCCACTGTGAATATGATCATGAAGAACACTTGGTTTAGAACGAACTTTATAATGAACAATAGGGAGGTTAAGATTAGCGTAAAAATATACGTGAACCTATCCCTATCCGTATGTTTGTTACGGATACGTATAGGTAATGCGTATTGCAAAATGAGTTTAAGATTAACGTAAAAGGCTACGAAACCGTGTGCTACAATTTATGATAAAATTAACTCCTAATCATAGAATAAAAACCATGCGATGGCTTATATAGCATATACCAGTACATGTCACCTCCAAGAATTGTTATATACTTCAGAGACTGTGTGGTGTAGCTACTGTAGTTGGGAGGGGTGATGCTTGAGGGTCCGCTAATGGGGCAGTGACTTAAGCCGAAATGTTAAATTTCTAGCATGATCTAGCAATGAGAGTGGCCAAATAGTAAAGTTAAACAATTAAAACCACGATATAATGGCTGATTTCATACATTTACAATAAGCAAAACTGATGAAGAATTTGTAAATTCAACAATTTCATGCATCATCACATAGCATCGTTTATCGCATCAATGAATGTGTTCGACCACTTAATTTCTATGCAGATCTAATCACTGGGGATGAACTGGAAACGAGGGAGGTTTTGACTCGTATCAAAATGGCGGCGCGTGAAAAAATTTCATTCGGTAAGATTTTTGTTTTTTACAATTTTCGTGCTTTTATCCTTCAAATTAAAACTTAATATTTGGCAAGTAAATAGTTCATAAGTTCCGGTTTTATAATATGATTACAAATTAGAAATCAATACTGGCATTGCTGAGATATTTAAATATCAATTCTCTCACTTAGGAAACGAGGCATGTTTCTCAAGGAAACGAGGCAGCTATATAGCATTCTTAAGAATGAAACGAGGCAACCATATTTAATTAAAAATGTTTTGTTTTTATTACAGAACGGGGCCTACAAAAAGAAGCATCCCTGTTCAAATGCTATTTCTATAACAGGAAACGACAACGTTGCTGATATTGTTATGTTGAAGCTTCCTAAAAAGCAAAAATGTTATGTTGAATAGGGAAGCAGATATAGACAGTTGTGAACAAAGCTATTTTAATTCACGATAGCGACATCATAATATTTACGCCATCGACCATTAACATTTTTCATA